ACAGACAACCCCGTAACAATATGCGTTTTGTACTGCTGTTACACAGCACAAAACGCATAATAACAGAAGATGCCTTTTCGTCTTCTGTCGCATTAAAAATTTTGAAATCCGCCTTCCTTTCTTTCGTTACACTCTTTTTCCAGTTTTTTTTTCGCTTATTTTCTTTCAACAATGTTGCAAAAATGAAGCGAGCAATATTGGAAAAAAAATTTTGTTTTGGCAATGGTCTTTACTTGTCTTTTCTCACATGCATTTTTCTTTCAGCTACTACAGCTACAAGTTCCACCGGTTTTTTCTCCACTGCCGCCCAGCCAAGTGGTTTACTTGGCGCTTCAGCTGGAGCCGCAGCAAAAACGCCACAGCTCTCCACAGTACAAGATTTGATACAGGTTGCTTTTCGACCACTATACTGTGAAACAAGATACGCACACTGACAACCCGAGCAGTCTTGGTATTCTTGGTATATTGGTGAAGAATCAGTGTAGCAGCTGTGCAACAGCTTTCTAGGCAAAAAAATATGAAACTTGGGGCATAATTGGAACCTGCATATGTCTTTGGTAAAGGCGCCAACTTGTATGCATCAAGCTATGCGCGTTTAGAGTGTTTAGCACCCTCTGATACGGATCCTAAACACTCGTGCTTGCTTAAAATCCCATCTTTTGTCAGTCAAATTTGTAGCATCTGAGACTGCTAAAAAATAAATGATATATTTTAGAACACGGAAAGTCTGATCCGATCGCTAACGGCGCCAGACCTGTACGGCGATGAGCGTGATGGGATAATCGCAAGTCTGAACCAGCTTCTGGCAGCATGTGGAGTGGGCGGAGGATTTTATAAAGCTGATCAGCAGCCAGTAATCTACAACGCCGAGAACCCATTTTATTTGTTCAAAGCAATCGGATATAGCAGGTGGTGATTATATTGCTAGTCGTCTTTGTGTGTGCGTGTTTTTTTTTTGAAATGTGTAGTGGTGCTACTGGGATGCTTTCATATGCGGTCACAGCTGTGTTAGGCCCTTCGATCTTTCGTTTCATGCTTTCTGTTAAAACCCATTGCTTGTTCGCTGTATTTGCGTCACCGCTTTGGGGTTCGCCCGAATGGTCGTTCTCTTGCAGCGACAGCTGCATCCACTGGTGTCGATAAGAGACTTTACTTTCTTGAATAATAACGATGATGCCCTATACACTATTCGTCTGGCAAAAAATAGGGTTGTGTGGACACAAAGGGACACACCAGTCATTCTTCGCTGTATTAT